TCACACTTTCCGACTCTTCCGACGTGCCGGAGTCCAACATTCCAAAGCCGTCTGCAGCCACCCTGGTCGAGTCTGCCGCGTCCCATGCCGCATCTCCGAAAGCAACGTTGTCAAAGACATCTTCGACGGCCGACGAGATGGACGTTGCTTCTTCGTCTCCCATTGACGACCCCATGGCCAATCTGACACAACAGCTCGAAGATGAAATCCGTGCCCTGCCAGACGATGAGCAAGAGGAGTGAAGCATCCACACTGTATCTTTGAGCAGTCTCCATCAAGGACTTGCCTGTTTTGCTAAAGTTAGTGTCGTAGTCACACAACTACGCGCGAGATGCTCATGATTTTATATACTGCAAAACAGTATGTATATCTTTTGGTACTGTCGCTCTATTCGTCATTAAATCCGAGCTACCTGCGTGTAGTATTTTGGTGTGCTTTTCTGTGGATGAGAGAACCATCCGCATGCTGGGAGCAAAAATGTTCGTGACCGTGCTATGTCACATGCCACTGTTCCTGTTGTCTTCATGAATGCAGATTGCACATTGCACAATATTTCCACCATCAAAGCAACATTTTGCTCAGTTGCTGCCTATTTTTTGTAGTTGCGGGCACGCCATGGCCAAGAACGGCAAGTTCAATCCATTTCCTGATCCCAAGAAGGGAGTGAGGCGCATGATCCAAAAGAAGCCGTCATGCAAAAAGTCTACGTCTTGGATGAAGATTCCATACGTCAAGGACAATACGAAGGGTGGCTATGTTCGAAAGGAGCAAACAAAGTGGCGACGATGCATCCAGGAACTTCCGCATGCAACCGATCGCGAGATCCTCCAGATCCTCATCCAAGATGGTCTTCTACCAGACCGGAAAGGTTCCGTATGTCCTCATTGCCAAGCTGGAACACTAAGTGCTCTCACCACCAACGGTCGCGACGACATTCTCCGATATCGCTGCAGCCGCAAGGGCTGCCAGTGGTATTTTCTTCCTCAACATCTACATCCCATCTATACTGCCACGAAGGGACCCGAAGGCCATGCATTACAAGTTCAAGCAGCTGCACTACTACTCCGTCTGCTCAACACCTCGTCCATCCACATCTTGACGCACATCAACCACAAAGCCCTGGAGAAAATGAGCCGCAACCTGATGATCACACGCAAAGGTTATGTCCAGCAGGAGGAGAAAAAGATCAAGTTCGGAGGTTGCCCTCGTGCCTGGAAGGAGGTTGAAGCAGACGAGGCAACCTTCGACAAAAAAAGCTGACACCCGAGGAGGACAAGGAGGACGACGGCAAGCCTGCTCTTTGGGAGCAATGGGGAGCAATCATACAACGAGGCAATCCAAAGACCCTGGTCCTCACAAAGCTCAATCCCGCGATGACTGTCCCCAGAGCCCCGGGCCCAGGTGCCATCCGGAAGGCCGACTGGAAACCACTCGCGACACGACTCCTGAAGAACCGCCAGGTGATCTTGCACACGGACTCGGCTCGATCCTACCGCATGAAGCTGCCGGGAGTTGTCCATGATGCCGTCGTCCACAAGAAACGCAAAGTCAAGAAGAACAATAAGTGGATGTGGCTGAAGCCTACTTTCGTGCGAATTTCCAAGCATAAGCTCCCAGACGGCCGCAAGATCTCTTGC